AGAGTAGGCATATTGAGATATGTTTATAATATAAACTAAAAAGGAAAAATATCTTTTGAATTTAGTGAGTTATAGAATAAATTTGCTTGAAAAATATGTTTGGTAATAATAAATTAGATTTAAAATATGTTTAGTATGATAATAAATATAATATAAAGAATACTAGAAATAGTAAGTTACATCAAATAAAGGTTAAAGAAAACTTTGAAATACAGATTTTTACTAGAAGTTTGATTATTATATCTATAGTTACAATGGTGAATTTGAAACTGTAATACTAAAGCATTTAATTTAGACTTTAAAATAGGATCAGGAATATTAGCACAAATTATATTAAAGGATATTAACTGTGAAAATTTTTTTTCTGTATATACAAATTTATGAATATGTATAGATCTGCAATTTTGAAATTCATCATGTTCACATTTATCTTACCTAGCAAGAGATGGATTTTTCCAGAGCTTATTATGAATCGCAGTTAGATAATTACAATAGAAAAAGTAAGTATGTAGAGGATGATTAGTTGATAAAGTGTTTCCATTATTAGTTTGATACAATATTTTATATAAGTAACACCATTTACTATCAGCTATTATTGTTGTATAAAATATTTGTAGAAGGCTATAATAATTTAACATAGTATTAATTTGATACAGTTTTTGTTAAAAAAAGGGAGCAGCAGTACAGAGACTTGAAGAGATCATAGTAGTTTTATTTTTATTAATTATATTTTATATACTATAAGAGCTTTTAACAATTAAATCAGCTCTTGTTGAGTGATATTCATGATTAATATTTTTCATTGCTAATAAGCAGTAGTAGTTTTAAAATTTTTTATTTTTTCTAATATTAAATACAACTAATGAGGCTAATACCAATAGAGGCAAAAGCAAGAATCAGGACAGAGTAAACATAGTTTTATATATTTTCCATAACAATCAACTAAGAGTTGAAAATTCAAAAGATATTTTATGCTTTTGTAATGGTCTTGATTATTAAGAAATAGGTCAGAAAATATTAAAGCTTCTAGATTGGGATCACTAAATGAAAGAGGTTTATTAGTACTAATAACTAAGCCAGCTATTAGATAATTATAATATATATCTTTATTATAGATTTCTTGAGAAAAATAATTATTTGAAATAACTAAATTAGGGGTGCAAGATAAATTATCAGAAAGATTATTGTAATAGATATTAGTAAATTGAGTAGTAATTTGAAGAGATTGACAAGCTAATAGTAAAAGAATAGAAACAGGTATAGTAAAAAAAAGTTGTCTAATAGTTATACTTGATGCATATTCATGAATTAGAAGATTAGTAAACTTGAGCCAGTCTGATACAGGAATTAAAGAATTATGAAACCAATTCAGAGATTCATTAACATTTAAGTAAGCTCTAGCTAATCCAGAGTATAATTAAAGAGTTTAGTAATTATGTAATAAATTAATATTTTTCTAAAGATGACAATAGTTTGTATAGTAATTTGTATTAGCAAAATAACTTAATGAATATTGTATAAAAATAAAAAAAAGATATTTTCTATACATTATAGAAATGTTATATATTTGAGGAGGAATTTGGAGTAATATTGGAAAATAGCAGTATAATCTTTCATTTTTATACCCATTGGATATAGCTACTTGAGTAATGCCTCTGTTATTTAATCAAGTATAAACAGAAATAGAAAAAACCTGAGTTAGGATATACAAATTATATTCTTAGTAAGGTATCTATTATATAGAAGAATTTAGTATAAAAATAGAACAATAAGCACAAGGAACACAATAATAGTCAGATAAAATTTTGGTATCAAACTAATGTAGTAGATGATAAAAAGCAGGAGTCAAATAACAATAATAAGAATTATTGATTTTATGTAACAGGAAAACAAAATCAAAAATTGATAGCATGTTTGGCAAATTTTAATTTAGTTTATTTTTAAAAATATAAAGTTCAAAAATGATATTAAGAAAAAAATTGATAGGATTTTCATTGAATTGTTGAGATGCTTTAGTAAAGAAGATAAAATGGAAGGTTTGAATATTGTAATTAGATATTTTTTTAAAAAAAGTTTACAAAGGATAAGGCAAAACTTAAATAATTAAGATGGGAAGGTAGGGTTTATATAAGAGATTTATAGTTTAAGGAATTTATGAAATAAAAAACAAATTAAAGGCATATATAAAAAGTTAATTTAAGCATAAATGACTTTAGACTTAATATTAAAATTGAATTAATAAATAGTAATAAGTATAATATAAATATTTTCATCAAAATTAAATTTATAAATATGAATTGAAACATTTATTGAAAGATATAAAAGATATAATATAAAAATTTTTTTTCATGATAGTTATTAGTTAGATCTGTAATAAATCAAAGATAAACATGATAAATTATTGATAATGCTTTGCATAATATGAAGTATATATAAAAGAAATACATAAGTATTATATTACAATATGATAATAGGATAATTATCAGTATAGATATTATTTATTTAAAAAGATGTTTAAATACTTATTTATTTAAATATTTTATTATTTAAATACTTTATTTATTTAAACATTTTATTTATCGAAATATTTTATTTATATAAATATTTTATTTACTTAAATATTTTATTTATTGTTTATTTTAATATTTCAATACAAATTGTAAGAAGAAAAAAAAAGAGTAGCATAGTAGATTATTAATAATGTTGATTGGAATATACTTATATAAAAGAAAATGTAAGTGATATAATAGAATAATATAATAACTATTTACAATCTACTAACATAGAATTTTTGCAATATTTATATGATATAAAGAGATAAAACAGGATAATACAAGAATAGAAAATTTATAATATAAAGAAAATCAAAATATAAATACCAGATGTTTTTGATAGAGAAAAAAAAAAAAAGAAATAACTAAGTTATTATTTTTTTGTTGAGTAAGAATTTTTTTCTTATTTATTTTTAGATTTGGGTTTTGTATCTTAAAATTGAAGATGAGTAGGATTAGTAAAATCATTATTACTTATAGAAGTTTTATCTTCATCTTCAATATAAGTTGTATAAGAAGGAATATTTTGGTTTGTATTTTGTAAAGTAGAAGCACAATTAAAAGAAAATGATAAGTGTTCTGCATAGATCAATTTAATAGTAGAAGTTTCTTTTTGAATTTGAGAAATAATATTAATGAAATTGAGTAAGGTTGTATTATTATTTAGGTATTTAATATTTGCAAATTACAGATATTGATATTTTGTCTTTTTTGTAGAATTTGTAAGATTAACATAGTATATTTTTCTTTAATACTGTCAAGACAAGATATATATCAAGCTTAATATCTGAAATTACTTTTGTGTTAGTTTTAGTATCTGAGAATGAAGAATCATTAGAAACATAAATCTATTCAATATCAGAGGCCAGAATATAAGGTAATTTTTTTGATTCAAGTTTTAAATAGCCTATGATTAATAAAACTGTTTTCTTTAAATTATTTTTCATAGTATTATATTGGTTGTTATCATTTATATATGATATAATAACTCTTGAATTCATATGCTTATTATTAGTAACTCTATTAAATAATCTTCTCACTATCATAAAGCTCTCTTGTCTATCTTGATTATTAAGAATATAAGAATCTGGCACTACAGAGACAGAGTAAATTAATAAAGAAAATATGCTTAAAAGGTTTTTAGGAGTAAGAACATAATTACTCTCAGAAGAAAAAAATAGAACTGTTTGAACCAAAGTAATCTAAAGAAAATTAGTATAACATAGTATATAAAAAATTATTTTTGAAGAAATTATTTTTTTTTTTTTTGGTGTTAAGGTGAGGCCTTGCTCATATCTTTATTGGGTAGTTTATACAAGTGATTACATAGT